TCTCTCTCTCTTTCTCTCTCTCTCTCTCTCTAAAATATTCACATACCCATGTTCTCCAGGTTGATGACAATTGCCTGACCAGTCCATGTGCTTTTGGTTGCAATGCTTTGGATGATGACTCTGTTGCTTGTGGGTGCCCATCAGGCTTCTCTAGGATTGGATCTGTAAGTATTCATCGTATAACTTCGTATAATGTATGCTATACGAAGTTATTACGCAACTGATATGAACATCAGAAAATTAAAACATGTTACTTTATAACAGTTGTTAAAAATAACAAAGTGTTCTGTTAATATCCTTCTGGATAACAGAAAATGATTCATTAGATAAGTTTATATATATATATATATATAAACTTATCTAATGAATCATTTTCTGTTATCCAGAAGTATATTAACAGAACACTTTGTTATTTTTAACAACTGTTTTAAAGTAACATGTTTTAATTTTCTGATGTTCATATCAGTTGTAATTATCATAATCATTATCTGATGACATTTGTGGTCATAAGAAATTTGTTCTAATTTTTCAGGGACATTGTATGTCTACACTCAATCCCCCAGTGGGTAATGGAGGAGGCATTGGGGGCATTGGAGGTAACACGTTTGGAGGTGGTAATGGATTTGGATCCCAGTTTGGTGGAGGACCTGGAGGCCAGTTTGGTGGAGGACATGGAAGCCAGTTTGGAGGAGGACATGGAGGCCAGTTTGGTGGAGGCCCGGGAGGTCAGTTTGGTGGAGGTACTGGAGGCCAGTTTGGTGGAGGATTCAGTCATACTTACAGCTATGGTACTAATCAGTTTGACCTTGGTGGTGTACCAACATTTCCCATAGGACCACAAGACCCACATGGTGACAATAAGAACATCATATCCACTGAAGGATGCTTCACATGTAAGGTAAGTCTAGATAATTTATTTTGACTTTTTCAAGCATTTGCATTGGCTAAGAAGTGTTAATCATGTATTATGGCAGATTAAGATACACTTCAAAAGTTTATATTAAAAGCAGTGTACAATTCTTGGACTGAATGAAAATCAGGTGGGATTTTATCTTCATTTATTTTTATATTCTTTTTCTTTCTTTAATGCAATGCTTTTTGTGCCAGAATGGATTAACAGGACGCCGTCGTCGATCAGTCCATGTGCCATCAGTGATAAACCAGCAGTTATTCATTCCAGCCCCAGTTAACTATACAGATGATCAAGTTGTGCTGGTCCATGCCAACAACAACACACACAGGGTTAGTTGCAAAAACAACTTCAAAGATTACTAGGAATTTTATGCATTTATTTATTTTCTCAGCAGGACTGATATTAAGTATATTTTAATTGAAATCAGATAAAATATTGACATAAGATGGCAATGTCTTAACAGATAGTGCGACGTAGTCTTGAGGATGAATTTAGAAGACAAGACAGCATAGCACACAGGGCAGCCAAAAATCCAATTGTTCTGAAGGTCTCCTTGAAGCAGACTAAACACAGGATGCAGCTTATAAAATTAAAACCAGCTTTAACATATCTCCAGGTGATTAATTTCCTATTCACTGTATTTTCTTTGTATTTTATGGTACAGATTGGAGAGAGAGAGAGAGAGAAAATGGAGAGAAAGAGAGAAAGAGGAGAGAGAGAGAGAAAGAGGAGAGAGAGAGAGAAAGAG